ATCCTCTTGCCTCAGCCTCCCAAAGTGCTGGGATTACAGGCATGAGCCACTGTGCCCGGCTGGGTACTATTTTTAGTAGCAAAATAATGGCAACAAAATACAGATCAGTAAGGAAAAGGATAAATCCAAATAGGTGTGTATACATACATATGTATGAACACAAATAAAGTAGTACATACAGATAAAAACAATGAACTAGACCTATGTATCAACATGAAAAGTTCAACCCATAGGCAAGAAAAGCAAATTCTTGTGCAAACTGAATATACCAAAACAATAATGCATTCATTCATGAGTCTTTTCTTCCAAGAAACAGTCTCGCTATGTTGCAGTGGCTACTCACAGGTACAATCATAGCCCACTAGAGCCTCCAACTCCTGGGCTCAAGCTATTTTCCCGCCTTACTTAGCCTCCCAAGTAGCTCAGACTATAGGCGTGTGCCACCACACCCGGCTCTATTCATGAGAGATTTCAAATGCCTCAGAGTAATTGCTTTTTGGAAGGGAAAAGAGCCTACACAGTACTCAACCTTGTCTATATTTTTTATTATATTGGAAAAAATGTGCTGAAGCAAATGCCAATAGTTGTCAGCTATAGTTGGTGGGAGAATAGATGCATTTACTTTGCTACTTTCTGTATCTTCTATTTGCTATCTGACGACCACTGATACCAATAACAAATATTTTCCTTCCCCCTCCCCCAGAATCAACTCTTGGTTCCAAAAAGGGACCTGTCAACAACCCATTCTGTTTGCCCAGTTTTCAGGGAAGAAGACTATACCATGTCAGACTCGAGGTCGTAGTCATCGCTGTTGCTGTCACCCCCCTCCCAGCGCTGAAGCACCTTCTCTTTATGCTCCCCATTCACCTTCGAGTTCATGGCAATGGCTGAATCAGTGAACTTGTCTGTGAGGGCAGAGTTGAAGATCCAGAGTCAGATGCTATTTCACAGCCTTCCTTTGAATATCCTTCACCCACAACCCCCCATAAATAGTCCAAGAACAAAGAGAAGCTTAAGAAATTTCAATTTTGTGTCAGGATTTGGATGGAGATATAAAAAGTTTGATCTGTTAAGACTATTTAACTATAGCCGGGCTCAGTGGCTCAAGTCTATAATCCCAGCACTTCGGGAGGCTGAGATAGGAGGACTGCCTGAGCTCAGGGGTTCAAGACCAGCCTGGGCACCTTGGCAAGACCTCATCTCTACGACAAAGGAAACAACCAGCTGGGCGTGGCAGCAT